CGGACACAGCCAGGAGGGCTCCAGCTCTCTTCCCAGTGGGGACTGGTGGGGAGGACAGGAATGGAGGTAAAGTGGGGGATGTTTAGAGTGGAAGGATCCTTAGCTGGACCCCCCTTTCCCAGCTGAGCAGGGCTCCCTCTGCCCAGGGCTCTGTCCTGCTCTCCCTCCGACAGTGTTAGCCAATAACGAATGACCATGGCCTGGGGGCTTGGCATCAGGAACTGGTTCTGTCACGGTTCTGGAGCCCGAACTCCAGGTGTCGGCAAGGCTGTGCTCCCTCTGCGGACACGAGGAGGGAGAATCTGCCCGCCGTTGTCGGGCTCCTGGTGGTGCACCGAGCATGGCCTTCCTTGGCCCGTGGCTGTATCACTCCAACCTCCGCCTCGGTGGTCACACAGCGTTCTCCCTGTGTGTCTCTGTGGCCTCCTTATAAGGACAACAGTCATTGGATTAGGCCCCTACTAATCCAATATAAGTTCTTAAATTGATTATATTACAAAAACTGTTTCCAGATGAGGTCACATCCATGGGTACCAGGGGTTAAGGCTTGGACACATCTCTTAGGAGACACAATTCGACCCATGACAAATGCTTACACACCCCCAGGCACTGTCTCAGACAAAGGTCAACCTTCCAGAGCAGGGTCCTGAGTCCAGCTCTCGCCGTGGGGACAGTGACAAAGCCTGTGAGGTGGGACTCGGTGTCAGACACCTAGTGAGCTGTGTGGACAACGGGCAGGGAAACGGGGTGTGTTCCCTCTGCCACACCCACAGCTGGGAGTTTGGGACGCCGTCGTCAGCGGACGAGAGGCAGCATGTGTGTCCGCTAACAGCGGTCACTGGGCACCGACCCAGAGCAGCTCAACCTGAGTTGCCACACCTGTGCTCTTTCCCTCTGCTCCCACCCCCTCCCCTCCCCCAAGGGCAGAAGGCACCGTGGTCATCCCCTTGTGATGAATGGGCTGGAGCTTTAGATGGTGGAGCCGCAGCCCAAGGTCATACATGATGGGACCAAGATCAACCTCCAGGCTGACCTCCCAAACTACAGTGCCACATGGACTAAGGGGAGTGGGAAGAGGACTCATCAGGGGTTTATTCTTCTTACATAACAAGGAGCATGGTCGTTGGCATTAATTTAGCATAAGGTTTCTCAATCTCGGCATTGCTGACATTTTGGGCCAGATAGTTCTTTGTGGTGAGGAGATCCTGTGCCCGGTGGGATATTTAGCAGCTTCTCTGGCCTCTACATCCCAGGTGTCAGAAGCAGTCTTTCTCTCCAGTCCTGACAACCACAAACGTCTCCAGGTGTTGCTAAATGTCCATTGGGTTTAGTGGTATCAGGACTGGTGTCTGAGTCTCTTGGACTTTGCCTCATGGTCACAAGATGGCTGCCACAACTCCAAACATCCCACCCATGTTCAGAGCAGAAGGAACGATGAAGGGCTAATACCAGCTGCAACTGATTCTTTTAGCAGAAAAGTGGAAGTTTTCCCAGAAGCCCAACAGATTTCCTTTTAAGTCTCACTTCACTTAACCTGAGGTCCTACCAGCCCAGCCCTCAAAGTGGGAAGACAAGGCCTCCTTAAAGGCTACGGGCAGGATAAAATGAGATCATGGATTGAGCAGCCCGTTACTACTCTTCGTAGCCTTGCGGAAGCCACTCTGAGCCTCCGTCCGCTCCCCCTTAAAACTGGACTAACAGTACCACCTATGACAATGGCTGTTTTGTGGTTAAATCACCTAATCTAAGCAAGTAACCCAGTCAAGGACCTGGTCCAAAACAGGTACTCCAAGGCAACTGATCAGTGGCGTGTTAAGATTAACCACGTAAACATGACCTGCACTAAAAAAATATTCGATAAACGTTGGTGGCTCCATCTTCCACCTCCGCGCCTTCATCTTCTCTGTCCCCTGGGCTGTTCCCATCACCCACGTGGCTTTGGCTCTCACCAATTCCTAGAGGCCTTCCCTGACGCTAATGTATACCTGTCACCCTTGGTCCCCTTCTTGGTCCCTCTTAACTCCATTCTCAGCCACCGCCTGCAAATTTCACCCGCATATAATATTCACTGCGCGGCTCCCTGCTCCCAAGAAGCAGGCTGGCTGCGAGGAGGAGCGGGAGGCACGTGTTTCCCGCTTGCAGAACCCCGCCTGGCCTGCCAGGGACGGGCCCCTGCGTTAAGTATGAGTTGGGTAGATGACTCTCGGGCAGAAGTTGGTGACACATGGGGCCCCCCTACAGTCGGGGAGATTGGCGATGCAGAAACGTAAGGGGCCAGGGGATGAACGAGGGAGGGAAGCCATACCTGGGCATCCGTTTTTTAAGACACTGCTGCCCCCACCCCCGCCCCCCTGCCTGCGGGCGGGGCAAAGGCGAGGTGCACGCGGCGAGCCCGCCCGCGCGCGCGCCCCGGGGTGGACCAGCAGCACGCCCGAGCCCACGCTCCCCGCTTTTCTGACTCTGTGGCCCGGCCTTGGGCGGCCACCCGGAGCCCGGAGCCTCCCCGACCCCTCCGGACCCCTCCGGACCCCCCGGCGCCTGCACGTGCTCCGCAGACGCCCGCCCGCCTGCAGCCGCGCAACCCGGGGGCGCATCTCCCGGCGCTGCCGCTCCGCTGGGGGAGGGGGAGGCGGGGCCCGCGCGGGCGGCGCTGGGATTTGTAGTTCCCGAGCCGCCGCCGCCCGCCCCGCCCCCTCCCGCGTGTGCCCAGGGCGCCGCCGATCCTGCCCCAGCCCCTCCTGGCCAAGGGTGTCAGGACCTGTGTGGCACAAAAGGGGACACTGAGGCCCCGCGAAAGAACCCAGCTTGCAGACGATCACGTGGCTGAGCAGTGGCCGCCTTCCCTGGCGCAACACGTGTAGGTCTTACTTTATTCTATTTTGGAAAGTTCTTAGTTTATTAACCCTCGGATGAAAAATCTGCCCAGTCTTCACAGATAAAGTCGCTAAAGAATCTTTACTCCTTTTGTTTTTCTTTCCTCTGCCAGCACCAACAGCGGCCCCTTGCAGCCCCCTGAATGTCTCCCTTCTGTTCTTGGGTTCCTTTCTCTGTTTTCTTGAGGTCTTCCTGCTCTCCTGCGGGCGAGGCTGTGTTTGGGTTCATTTGTCTTGGTGTAATGCAAGGAGTCCCAAAGCCACTACCGAAATGGGTTCTGAATCCAAACACAAAGGTGGGGGCTGGTATGGGCTTATTGTACCTTTTGGCTAGTTGCCCCGAATTTCTGTCTTAGGTACTGTTGCCTTCCCTGGGTGAAGGACATCAGTGACCTTTGGTGTCCGCTGAAGTCGTCTGTGGGTCCTGAACTTCCCGGTCCCCATAGTTACTGTGTTGCTGACGATGGTGGCCAATCTTCAAGCAGCCAGGGAGGAAGAGAGCTAGGTCCCACTTTAACCCAAGTGCCCAGAGGGTCGCTCACCTCCGTCATGCCATCCTGCATTCGCTCAACGAGTGTTTCCCGGGGGCTCTGCTTTGCCGGGGGACGTGGTTAAGGCCTGTAGTCAGGTCTGTGCCTGGCAAGTTGAGCTGGAGGGACAGTGAGTGACAAGAGAAGGCGGGAATGAATTGAGGTTCTTTGAAGGCTTGGGGTTCCATGCTGGGGTAAGGGGGCTAGGGCCGGGAGCTTGGGGAAGGAGGGATGAGACTTCAGTGGCTTCGGGGTGAATCTTGGGGTTAGGGAGTCCAGCGGCTTCAGACAGGTTTGTCTGGACCTGGGGTCAAACAGCCTGAGTGAGTAGTGAACACTTCCCCTGTCTGTCTGTCCTTCTCCACCCACCTGGTGCCTCTGGTGTGTGTGCAGGCCCAGCCTGTGTCCCCCTGTACAGAGAGGAGTCATAGGACTGGGACCCCACTTAGAGTCCACGACCGCACAGGCGTCTCAGTGGTGTGCATGGGCATGCCGAGCGTCTGAGGCCCCCAGAGCCGGCCTGGGACCATGATGTGACCCACTGGTGGGGGAAGTTGGTGCCAGGCCACCTGAGGGCAGTCACGTGGCTGGACACTCGGTGCTCTCCTCTCAGACGTGAAATTCCTAATAGCTTGGAACTCTGAAAATCTGTAGCTGCTCCTGCCAGGTGTGACCTTCAGAGGGCCGCAGATGGGCCTGGTTCTGTGGCTGGGGACGGAACAATGGGCAGGTGGACAGCCCTGCTGGCTCCCCTCCCAGGGCGGTCCACACAGATGGAGGCATCCCTGACAGCAGGAGTGCTTGGGAACGACATTTAACGAAGCTAGAACTACCTCCCCAGCCCAGCGCAGCCCGGTCACCTCTGGGGGGCTCCCGAGACCACTTGGGCCTGTCCTGAAGGGCAGCACCCTGATTTCTCTTTCTGGATTACATGTTGTACACTCACTTGTTGAATTGTTTGTCTCATTCATAGACGCTCTGGGGGGGGGGGGCGAGAGTGTGTTCTGTGCACCCCCGAAGCCCCCACACCCTGATTAATAGTCATCGAACGAATTACATCTAGAGATAAAGCAAGTTATTTCACCGTTAATACACGTCGCTGGACCCTAGTGGCCCTGGAATAAATATTGCCCGATAAACGTGATCTAATCATCGCTTATATCTGATTCATTAGATTCCGCGCTCCACGAGAACGGCGCCTGGATCGCCGCGGGCACGCAGTAGGGCCGCGGGAAACGTCCGGATGCGGAGGCTCGGGCGGCGCACCCCCCCTCGAGGCCTCCCGCGGCGCGCTGGGCGCGGCGAGGCGGGGCCCGGACTACGCTTCCCGGCGGCCCCCGCGCGCCAGGGGCTGGGCAGGGGCGGGCCGGAGGCTGTCTGGGGGCGGAGCCGGCTACAAAGCCCCGGGGCAGGCGCCCGGGCGCAGAGTGCCCGCAGCGCCGGCAGGAGCGCAGCGCAGCTTAGCGCGGCGTGCACGGCGGCAGCAGCCCGCGAGTGGACGGGCCCGGAGGCCCCCCTGCTGCCCAGCTCGCTCCCCGCCGCCGCCCATGAGCGCATCCCCGCGTGGCCGGGGTCCGTAGGCCGCGGGGCGCCCCCCATGCTGCTGCAGCCCGCGCCGTGCGCCCCGAGCGCGGGCTTCCCGCGGCCCCCGGCCGCCCCCGGCGCCATGCACGGCTCGCAGAAGGACACCACGTTCACCAAGATCTTCGTGGGCGGCCTGCCCTACCACACCACCGACGCCTCGCTCAGGAAGTACTTCGAGGGCTTCGGAGACATCGAGGAGGCCGTGGTCATCACCGACCGCCAGACGGGCAAGTCTCGCGGCTACGGCTTCGTAAGTGGCCCCGCGGCCGGGCGCGCACCCCAGCCTGCACTTACCTTGGCCCCGGGCGCCGAAGCAAACGGCAGGCGCACGCCCAGCCGCCCGGGGCGCCTTCGGCCGCCGCTTGCACCTGCTGCCCCCTCTCCGGCGCAGGGGGCGGCCGTTCGCGCCCCAGCCGGTTCCGCCCCCACTGCCCCGGGCTGGTCTACCTGCCCCCACTCGCCGGGTTTGAAAGGGAGACCCGCTGTGTTCAATTAGGACTCCCAAGTTTGTGGAGAGGCTCTGGGGTCGGACGACTGTGCTCAGGACTTTGTGGAGCGACTAGCGAGCCAGGAGCAGCGCCTTCACCCCGGGCGCTTTGGGGCCAGTTAGCGCCCCTCCCCCCATAGTATCCAGTAGTCTCTCTTGCCGCCGCGAAGAAACATCAATATAAGTAAAAAGCGGCTGGAAAACACGTTCTTTCTTTCTACCGACAGTGTCCCCAAACCCTTCCCATGAGGAAATTCGCAGGCCCCTGCCTCTTCCGGGAAGGGGGTGCCCCCTCTCCCCTAGAGATTGTTTCTGTTCTGGAAGGCAAAGCTTCCCAACGCTTGCGTTTGGAGGGAGGAGCTGGAATCCAGGGGGCAGCTTTGTGGGAGGGCCCCAGGCTGGGGTCGGAAGGGTGGGGGGAAGAGCACCGGGCCAACTGCCCTGCTCCCTACAAGGGAAGTCGCTGATGCAGCTGCTCCCCCAGGTGACTATGGCCGACCGGGCGGCAGCTGAGAGGGCTTGCAAAGACCCCAACCCCAACATCGACGGCCGCAAAGCCAACGTGAACCTGGCCTATCTGGGCGCCAAGCCGAGGAGCCTCCATTCTGGTGAGAGGCTGTTTCCCTTCCCTGGCTCTTCTTAGCTGCTATATTCAGCACTGGTGTCTGTCTAGGGGAACCCCACCCCCACCCGCCCCAGGAGTGGCAGTCGGCTGTCATGTGCTTGCAGAGCCAGGGCAGGGCAGTCATCCCCTAGGTTGGGAGCTGGACCCCTTCTTCGGGCTGGTGGGACAGGGTGAGGAGGGTGCGTTACCCAGTTGTCAGCTGTCCTCACGGGAGGGAGGAAGTTGGTCTCTGGGACCTAAGGTCAGAAGGACGAAAGCCTAGAGGCTGCTGTCCCCCAGGTCCCTTGGCCTGCTCAACTGGGAGCTTTGGGGTCCATGTTGCGGTGGCCTGAGAGGGGAGGGGAAGTGGATTGCCCCTTTTGGTCAGACTTGTGTGGCTGTGCAGAGGCCCAGCCCCTAACTGGTCTCTCATTGTAGGCTTTGCCATCGGCGTACAGCAGCTGCACCCCACCTTCATCCAGCGAACGTACGGGTGAGTGGAGTGGCTGGCTGGGGGCGTGGTAAGGGGCTTCCTGGGGCCCCCAAGGTGGGTGCCCATTTCACCCAGGACTGCCAACCGCACTGCCTTGGCTGTGCCATTAGCAGCCACCTTTCTGTGTCCGGAGAACCGTCGGTCACTTTCTCCAACTTTCCAGAAACAGGATTGCGTCTGGGGGAAGGGAGGGGGTGGGGTCAAGCTGGGAGATCTGGGAGAAGGCAGATTGCCTTTCTCCACCCCCAGCAGAGGCCACACCCCAGAGAGGTGGGGAGCTTGGGCCCTGGAGCCTGTGGCCTGGGTTCAAATCCCAGCTTCCCCCTTACCAGCTGTGACTTCCAGCATTGCCACAGGCACCTTTACTCTGTCTCCTCGCCTGCGAAGTGGGGACAGGCACAGCACCTCTGATTTGTGCCAGTGCAGGCCTTGGGATGGGCGCGGCTTGGGTGGGTGAGCACTCTGGAAGTATTGCCCACATTCTGAGGGACTGGCGAGCTGGGCTCTTCTGAGGAAACCCCTCTGACCTGCTCCAGCGCCTGACAGATGGTGGCAGCGGGTCACTGCCTGCCGGGGTCTGACGTTCATGAAAACTGCAGCAGGTGAGCCAGGGTGGGCCAGATGTCCCTGGGCTGACGCGCTGGCCTGCGGGCCTTTGTCTGGCATGCTTTGGAGCGGTGGTCCCACCCTCCTCCGTCCAAAAAAGGCCCCCTCCCCTAGCTTTTTTTTTAAGAACATCTAATGAGGCCTGGCAGCTGCTTGGGGAGGGACGAGCACACTTCAGGGCACAAAGGAGCCTGCCGTGCTCCGGTGTGACGTCGGCCGTGCACCCCAGTGCGGGGAGTTTATTGTTGGGGTTGGGAAGCTGTTCCTTGGAGGAGGTGAAGAGGGCGTCTGTGAAGTGGGCAGTCTCTTTAGAACACGTGTGTGCATGTGGGTGGTCGTGTCTGCCCCTGCCATGCAGAGAGGATCCCTGGGGCCGTGTGGACCAAGGATCAGAGCAGGGGTAAAGCCAGGCTCCGGTGGACGGGGCGGGTCAGCCAGATGACCGAGGAATTGCTCCGTGGCCACGGTTCCGGGGTGCCTGCACAGGGGCTTCGGCCAGGGCTGCGCATGTGTGGGAGCTCAGCTCGTCTGCCCTGGAGGGGGGGAGGGGAGCCTGGAGGGTGGCCAGCAGCAGGTGGTTCTGCGTGTTCTTCTCATCAGGGTTCTGCTTCATAAATGTCTGTAGCTGTCTTGGAAGGAGTTTGGGGGCACCCCAGTCTTCCCGCCATCGCCCCAAGAGGAGGGCGCTCCTCGTTCTCGTGGCCCTGGCTGTGTTCCTGAGGGGCACAGAGACCAGGGCAGGCGCCCCGAGCACACACAGCCCTTTCTTGCTTCAGATGTAACAGTACCTTCCCCGCCCCAGTCTGGGCTCTGTTCTGAGCTGTCACCGCTGCCCCTGGGACTCGAGTGACTGTCAGTGCCCGGCCTCTGGAGCCTGCAGGCCCGGGCTCCAACCCTGATGCTGCCATCGCCGGCTGGGTCCTTCTTGGCGGTGACGTCCTCCCCTGAGCCTTTGGGTCCCTCATCTGATACACTGTTGGCATGGGGGCTGGGTGCCCCTGCTCCTGCGTGTCTGTCCTCCAAGGTTAAGATTGACATGTCCTCACTTCATAGACGGGGAAATTGAGGCAAAGAGAAGGTTCACAACCCCTCTAGGGCGGCCGGCTCCAGAACCCACACTCCCAGCCGCTGCTCTCCAGGTGGGTGGAGGGACCTCTGACCTCCACCCCATGGGGCCCACGTGAAGGTAGGCGAGGGTCGGTCACAGATGACCGCCATGCGTCCCCACAGCAGGCCACGGTGTTTTGTAACAACCTACGGGCTGGCCATTGAATACCTGTGACGGGGAAGCGGCCTCCAGCTTCTTGTTGGTTGCCAGGGGGTAGAGGTCCAAACGGGGACGACGGATTAGAGGGACAGTCGGAATTGTGCTGCCTCTCGCCAGGCCTTGCTGAGGCCCAGGCTCGGGTGAGGCCCTGGGGTGCGCTGCCTGGTCAGCTGTCGCCTCCCAGTGCCCGCCTGCCGGCCGGAGAGTTGAGCCGTCAGCGTCCCTTTTGTCTTTGCAAACAATCGGGGTTGGGAGCACGGCCGGGCCTGACCGGTCAGTTTTGTCAGCTCCTGGCTGGCAGCACGGCAGGCCTGTCGTTGGCTGGGGCACTGTGGGTGCCAGAGCCGGGCAGCTGAGCCGGTGAGCCGGTTAACCCCTCTGCTGCCTGGCCGGTCTTCCCCAGACTTGCTCTAAGGACCCCACAGCCCCACTTTCGGCAAGGTCCCCGCGGCGTCCTCGCCTGGCTGGGTCGTAATGTCGGCCTGGAGAGTTTGCCGGAGAACCTTGCACCCGGTGCTTTGCGCTTGGGCCCCCTGCCCCCAGTGTTTCTCCTTTTTGTGAAGTTGACGCGATCTTTCAGGACCTGACTGGGCTGATGGTGCGTTTCCATCGTGTGACCACACACGGGCCAAGGCCTGGGTGTGGAGGAGACTCCTTGGCAGGTGACAAGCGGCTCAGTCGAGGGAGGAGAGCGTCCCCTTGCTGGCTGGGGGGCAGGCAGCAGGCAGGAGGGAAGGTCAGCAGTTTGGGGGGGCCCGTGTCCAGGCAGTCTGGCCTGGGAGGGGCTTTCTGGTGTCAGGGCTGTTGGTTCGGGCCTGGGCCTGGGCCTGCCAGGATCTGAGGTTGGGCCTGGGCCTGGCTGCACTTGGAGCCCCTGCTCGGGTTATTTTTGAAGGGCCAGCTGCTTCTCTGGGCACAGCCTACCCACCCCCTTCTTAAGGGGGCCGTGGTGTGGCTGCACACCCGTTGACTGATCCCTGCTCTGTGCCAGGCGAGGGCCCGGGCCCCGAAGACGAGACGGAGTGTTGGGGCTGCCGGGTGTCAGGTGCACCGAGTGCTGGAGCAGGGGCCCGGGGGTCTGCCTGGGTGTGAGCCAGTCCAGCCCCTTCTCCCCACCTGGGTGCTGGGGGTGCCTCCCAGGGCCGACCCGAGGCTGGGCGAGCTGTGTGCGGAGCCGGTCGGTCGGGGCCTGGCCTCAGGAAGACCTGGGATATGTCAGTGACAAGTCGCATGGCAGCCCTATGACGGGGTCTGTCTGTCGCCAGTGAGGAGAAACTTGGCCTGAGCTCTCCGCGCCGGTGCGGGGGCCTGAGTTTGGGCTCCAGCACCTCCCTCTGGCCCGCTCTGGGTCAAACCCCGACCCCCTGGGACTGGCGACACCAGGGGCCCTTCTCCGGGCACTGCACAGACCATGTGGCCTGCAGAGTGGGGGACCTACCGTGTGGGTGAAGGTCCCCGCTGCCCACGCTGTCCCCAGACCGAGAGTGTGCATGTCCAGGGGCCCGAGTGGAGCCCCCGGTCGCCAGGACAGGAGAGGGGCCAGGGCAGGACAGGAGGATGTGGTGCACATGGACCTGGGCAGCACACACAAGGCTGTTTCCACAGTCGTCCATTCGTTGCCTGCCCATTGAGCGCCGGCTGCATGCCAGGCCCTGTGCCCGGGACACTGGATAAGAAAGTGCCCGTCCAGGTGCTCCCTTCCAGCGGGTAGCCGGACTGTTGCCAAGCCATCGGGGCCGGAGGGGTGGTGGGTGCAGCTGAGCAGGGCGTTCCTGGTGGGGGTGGGGCAGCCTGCACTGGGATGGTCGCAGGGATGGGCGAGCTGTGTGTGACGGCGGACACACCAGGACACGGCAAAACGGATGAAATCCAGCCGGGCCTGGAGCCTGGTGCGTTGTGGTCACATGCCTGTCGTCGGTCCTGGCTTTGGAACACGCTGGGTTGTAGGACGTCATCACTGGGGGACCTCTCTGTGCTGCCGTCACCCCTTGGCAGTCTTATCACTGTTGCATAAGGTGAAGTGAAGCTGGGGGAGGGGAGGGGCAGTGTCTTGGGGGCACGGCAGGAAGTGAGATCAGAGCCAGATGCTGTGGGCGCTGGGAGGAGGCCTGCCCTCTCCCCCGTGGGGCATCACGTGGCTTGTTTTTACTTTCAAGGTGTCTGGGGTGACTGGTACTTCCTGTTTGTCACTCACTGGAGTGAGGCGGGGGAGGCGGCGGCCGGCGCACACCTGCTGTTTGTCCCCGTCTGCCGTAACAGAAACCAGCCTGTGCCAGCCTCGGGTGGTTCTTGGGTCCCTGTCCAAGGATGAGTCCTCTCCTGGCCCCAGGAGGCCCTTCTCTGGCTGGAGAGCCTCGTCTGGGAGCCTCCGGCCCGGGGAGGCCAGACCACAGGCAGAGGCTGCTGCGGGCACCTCACCCCTCACGGGGGTGTCCCCAAGGAGGAGGGCAGGGCAAGTGGGCCCCTAGGTGGGCCAGCCCTTCATGCCCAGCTGGGTGAAGAGTCTAGTCTGGAGGCCCCCTTTCAGCATGTGTGTTCCCCCCTTATTTTTGTGACTTACCTAGTTGAGCCTCAGTTTCCCCGTCTGCCAGGTGGACGTGACAGGTGCTGTCCAGGCGGGGGGCACCCGGTCATTGTCCCAGCCCCTCCCACGGGTGCAGGAGGAAGCTGTGCACTCAGGCAGTTCATTCAGCAGGTGTGTGCCTGCTGGTGCAGGGCTGGAGGCCCGACCTCCCCAGGCCCTCCCTGTCCCCTCCAGTCCCCCCGTGATTCAGAGTGTCCCGCGGCTGAGTGGCTGTGGGAGGGGCAGACGAGAGGGAATGAGCATGTCCTGGTGGCGAAAGGAGCGGCCGGGCGGGGAGGAAGTGGGAGGTGGGCCTGCAGGGCCCGGCAGGGCGGCCTCGGCTCACTAGGGCCCTGGGGACCCAGGGTTTGGATTTTACTGAGTGACTGGGGCCAAGGTGGGCCCTGAGGGAAGGCGGGCCGGGTCACTTTAGAGTACCCCTCTGCCCAGCCAGTGTGGCTCAGTGGTGGAGCGTCAACCCTGCACCAAGAGGTCGCCGGTTCGATTCCCGGTCAGGGCACATGCCCAGGTTGTGGGCCCGATCCCCAGTGGGGAGCGTGCAGG